GGGAAAAGGGTAAAAATGTGAAGAGGTTAAGAACTACAAATTGGTGGCCACAAACAGTTATGGGGTTGTAAAGCACACCATAGTAAATAGTCAATAATCTTGTAATAACTATATACAGTCCCAGATAGGTGCTTGAAATATCAGGGGAACACTTTTCAAAGTATATGATTGCCTAACTACTCTGCGCTATACCTGTAATTAATACAAAATAATATTTAATGTAGACTGAATTGAAAAATAAACTTTTTTTAAAAAGGAAAAGAAAAGCTTAGAAAGGTGAAGTAGTTCACCCACAGTCAACAACTAGCAAATTCAGACCTGCTTTTGGCACCTGCGCTCCTTTTTTTAACTACTCCTTCCTACTCCTGGAGGAAAGAGATAGATAATGGACTCTGTTTCTATACAAACAACCTCTCCTAATCGCAGGCTCAGGCCCTGTGTTAGCCCCAAATCCATTACCACCACGGTACTGTGAACAGTAAACCCTTGCTGATGGACTCCTGGTGGCTATCAGGGTTCCAACCAATAAGGAGAGGGGGGACCATTTACCACAATGAGCTCCTTGGTCTCTGGCTAAGGATGCACTCCCCAGAAACACACAGAGAAGGCTGGATTTCCCCTAAGTACCTTCAGGTTTCCTACACTGGTGTCCATGCCCTATTCTGGGAACAGAGAAGTGGGTGTGAGGGATGGTAGTAAGAAATGGAAGAGCTTTTTAATGCTCGCTCCGGGAAAGTAGCCGCAATACTTCACAGTCACTCCTTGTACAAATGCTCTCTCCACCTAGCGTGAGAGAACATTTCCACATTCAGTCTACACTCTTGGGGTTAGCAATATACCATTAACTATATAATCAGTGGGCCATCACTGAACACATATACCTCGTGTCTCCCAACCCACAGTATTGTGCTGCATTCAGTTGTCTTTTTCAATCATTTTCTCTTAATTTTACGTATTTTCTTTCGGATGCATTCTAAAATTGGCCTCTTCAATTTCTGTAATTCTAACGACAATATCAGTCCCCTATTTCCCATTAAGAACTCTACCACCACCAGGACTATTCAGCACATAAGTGAAATCAAGCCTTTGCTGACCCTGATTAATACATTTAATCCTCTCGAATCATAGATTTGAACTTGCCCAAGGTCACTCAGCTAATAAGGTTTACACACGCACACTGGCCTCCAGACAAGAGGACTCTTTGCCGGTATTCTCCTACCTGTGTTCTCTCCCTTTGTACCCTGCATACTGTGTTGGGAAGTCTTTCTCTCCATTCCCAACCCTTTTCACCTGCCAAATTCCTATTGGTCCTTTAAAGCTCAGCTCCAGGGTCCCCTCTTCCATGAATCTTCTCAGGTTTTTCTCTGCTCTCTCCCCAACCGGGGAGGGGTGCCTCTGGCATGGGCTTTCCCCTCTCTGTTTTTGTTGAAATGTAACTCTCAGCTGCATTCTCTATTTCTCCCTTACTAGGCTCTAGGATCCTCTGGAGCAGGGTAGGGTCTGGGTCTGATCTTGAGATTCCCAGTACCAATCCAGTGCATGGCACATGGCACAGACACAAGAAATGCTTGCTGAAAACTGAGTGGTGACCCTACTCCTCCGATTTGGCCAAAGATCTGGTGAACAATGTCATCTGACTTAGCAGGAGAGATTTCTCGTCCGGAGCAATGCCATTTTCTCAGCTTCCCATGAACTCATTCTCTCACTAGGTTTACACTGGGACACGCAGTTACCATTAGTTGAGGAGCGAACACCTTGCAGACATTGCGATGCCTGCTTCGTGCACATTATGCTTATCCTTACAACAGTGCTGAGTAGACATAATCCTCATTTTCTGGGTGCATCTCAAAATCAGTTATCCTAAGTAACTTGTCTATAGTTGCCTAGAAGGAAGGTTTTGTGTTAAAGGCGTGTATTAAATGCCCTATTCTGTATAGTCATTTCTGTCCTAGAGAGAGTCATTAATTTTAAAATTACTTATACACACACAAAGAGTGCATATACTTTGATGCTGGAGTAGTGAAAGCATGGTCAACTAGGATTCACAGAGGTTTAAGGGGCTTCTACCATATGTATTATCCAGGGCATTTTATGCAGGTTGTCTTAATTTTTTATCAGATAGAAAGGGATTATAATACCTACTTACATAAAAGGGGGCTGACTATGCAGCTTTCTCAAAAGAAGAGGGCCTTGGCCCACTTTAGAGCACTATGTTAGATGAAGAGCTTGGTGTACTGTTTCTCAAAGAGTGTGGAAGGACCCTGGACATCAAAGCCACCTGAGGTGCTAACAGGAGGAGATGAGAGAAGCCACCTGGGAATCCACATTTAACAAGCTCCAAATGATTCTATGGGACAGAAAAGTTTTATAAATGCCAGGTTACAACAAAGCTTTCAAACTTTAATGTACATGTGACTCACTTGGGGATCTTGTTAAAATGCAGATTCAAATTCAGTGAGCCTGGTGGGCAACTTCAGATTCTGCATGTCCAACAAGCTCCAAGGGGAAGCCAGTGTTGCTGGTCTATGAATCACATCTGAGAAGCAGGGGTTTGGAAGATCTGTCCACCTTGGAACAAATTAGCTTTGCTTTGTTTCTGGACCACAGATTGTACTCCCCAGAAGTATTCCAGAAAGCCCAAACTCTCAGTATCGGTACAAAAATCACCTGAACTACTGACAACCAAACTGAACAGCTTCCCTCTTGCCAGGGGAAAAGCAGTAGCATCCTTTGCAGATTCAGAGAGCACATACGTTTCGTATGTGAAAAAATAATTTACTGCTACTACGTGAGTGCCATTTTCTGGGCAGAACATTTTCTATATATGTGAAAATTAATGAACAGAAACCTCATTTAGAGAACCCACACAGATGTCATTCAGCAACACTACTGACCCCAACAGGAGACACAGTTTGCATCTCTGACACGAAGTGATACTATTTTACTACCTCAGCAGGAGAAAGAAGAGTCTTCCTCACCCAGTAACAGCTCAGCCAATGGGAGACTGCCATAACTCAGCCAATTAAAAGTCACTATCTTTCCAACTTTCAATTTCCTCCAATGGACCCTTCATTTACAACAGTTCCTCCCAACTCTATAAAAGAGCATTCCTCTCCTTTGTTTCTCTGGACTTAGGGGTGGTTTGCCATTAGACCTCAAGCCCTGAATTGCAATTCTTTGTTGTTCCTGAATAAACCCATTTTCTAGAGAAATACCTGGCTATTTGTTAAAGGTCAACATATATTATCTCTACTCCCCACCACACTACCACAAGGTGGATATTCTTGCTCTCTAGGTAGGGAAGTGATGTAGAGAGCTTAAGTAACTTGCTCAGGGTCACATGGCTAGTTATTGTTATGGTTGGGGTACCAATCCTGCTCCATTAGGATCCAAAGCCTGTGTGCCCTCTGCACATCCTCCATGATGCTAGATATGATTGTGGTAGAAAATGTGACCGCTTGAGGTTGGGAGGAATTTGGGGGGCGTGGGGGGGGGGAGGTTTACCCTGCAGCAGTCTGCATTTAAAGCTCTGTTGAGGCAGATTCCAGATGGGAGTGGGGATGGGAATAAGTCTAATTAATTGGTAACCTCTGATATCTAATGAACAAAAACATGCAGACAGCAAACTTGTCCATGGTTTCCATAAATCTGACAATGCAGATGGAGTAAAAAGTACACTAGTGACTAGTGCACTGATCTAAGGGCTTCTAGCTGTGAAGCTCAACTAGTAAAGAGCAAAACTTCTCTCTGATCCACCTGGGCTACTAATGTCCCCACTTCTCCTGTATGAGGTTTCTGTAACCGTAAAGTTCATATCAACACAGGTTGTCGCTGCCATGCCATTGCACGGTGGCCACACCTCCCTGCTTCTGATAAAACTGCCTATACCTGAAAAAAAAAGTACTGCTTAGTTAAAAAGTTTTCTTTTGGGTAATAAAAGTTTCTGTATTTTTCACACAGTTGACGTGGAGAGAGAAACATTCAGAGAAAGATAAAGATGCTCAGAGAAAGCAGTCAGCTAGATACTCAAGTGTACCAAATGGGGGGAAGACGGCGATGAAGTAAATTGCCCAGGCATTTGCCATGCAGTGTCTTCAGCATTTAATGAGGGTGAAGTATCCGCAGTCAGTTTTTTTAACCTCAGGTTTCTTCACTGTTATAATTTGTATTCAATAGCTTAACTGTCATTTTCTAAAGATCTTTTAACTTTACTATAAATAATACAAATATTTAACTATATAATGCAAAAAAAGAGATCCATTTAGAAAGCCACATCTCTTGCAATTAAATATATATGTATACGATGGTCTAAAAACCAGTGGCATCTGAACTATTAAGGATTATAAACTGATTTTGCCTCTATGGTATATACTATACATGATGTTTCAAAAATAAAAACTGAACCCTAAAGAGAAACTGGTTTAAAAGTATGTTTAGAATGTGTGTGTATTTTCAATCGAAGGTAAGAAACTGAGTCTAGAGCATTAATTTCAAACCAATAAGCGTTTCCTATTTCACCTCCCAAGCCCCGGGAACAGTCCAGATCTCAGAAAATCTAAACTGAAAGTCAACGGAAACCAATTTGAGATTTTTCTGACAGGCTTCACTGAAATGTTTGGACACGAACATGTTTGCAATGAGTCATAATATACAGGGCCTTAATGGCTAATGCCTTCTGTGCCTTCCTTCCTACACCAATGCCGGTAGCAGATCAGCTGCGGCTGGTTTTCCAGGCCCCGAATTTCTATGAAGTTACCAGATCTCAGTGACTAAGGCTGCCACCCCGCGCCTTTCTCATACTGATTTGTTATGCCATCCAAACAGCCTGATTCTCTTTCTAAACGAGGACTCTCCCCAGCCGGGCTGTGAATACATTCCACCTGCGAAAGGGCGCAGTACTTTTAAGACCCCAAAGAAACGCCGAGGGGCCTAGGGAGCACTCCAAGTGAAAGGTGCGAACCGTTCACGGGGAGTCGTCCTGGGCTAGGGCCGGCTTAATAACAGGATATGTTCGCTGCCAGAGGAAGCGGGAGCTGCCATAGCCCGGGGTCAGGAAAGGAGGAGTCAGCAGCACCCGAAGGAAACGGGCGCGCCAGGGCCGGCAGGGACCTGGCTAGCTGAGGGTGTCTGGTTCCAGGCGGGTCCGAGGCTGGTGACCACCTCGTTGGCAGGGCACCAGGCTCAGGCCTCCCGGCACCAGTGGTGATACAGCGGTGCCCATCTGCTCCCTGCCACCTCCGCCAAAGATGGGTCCTGGGGTGAAGGGAAAAGGCACACACCAGGCGCCGCGGCAGGTGAACTCGTCCACAAGTCCGCCCGGATGCAAGGACCTTGAGATCCTGGGGCAGGGTGAGGTTTTTATTGCAGTTTTGTTTTAATGCTGGGGCGGGTCCGGGATCTGGGGAGTGAGTGTCCCTCTCTCTGCTCCCTGGGGTCTGACCTCGACCACCATCTCCTGGGGTATCCCCCGCGGGTTTCTGCGGCCCAGGGTGACCCCGCCCTTGCTCTCCCGCAGGTGTTCCACGTGTCCATAGCATTTGCGTCACAATGACCTGGGCGACAGGTGGGAGCCTGGGCGAAGGGTTCCCACTGTGTCCAGTATAGGGCTTGCTACTTGCTTCCACTATAGATGTCTGTGGCTTGAGGGGGCAGGAGACTTCAGGATTTCAATGCCAAGAAAAGTTACAGAGGCCTGTACCTGTGAACCAAGTTTGGGCTGAAAGGGAAAAAGGCTGTGTGAAAAAAACTGTGTGTGTGCATATGTATGTAATGTTTTCATTCCCACTTAGCCACGTATCTCTTAAACTTGTTATTGATGCCGATGGTAATTTCATCCTCTCTTATCCTTTGTCATCAGGAAAGAACCAAACCCGGTGTTTGAGTGCCCTGCAGGGATCACCTGAAGAAAAAGTGCTGGAATGGGTACTTCCCAAAATTATCAATGCTGAAAAGCAATCTCAATGTGCTATGACTCAATGCCTGGTTATGTTATATATGTGTTAAAAAGCTTATTGAATAGTCATTGAAGTAAGCGATTTAACAAGATGGAGTGAAAGATGGTTGCTGAATAACGATGCAAACAAATCTGAAATCCATCTAACACGAATAGGCTGTTCATGCCAGGCACATGCTGTGTACTTTACATTTAACCCTTAGAGCAACCCACTGCTGTAGGTAAAGTTATTATTCCTGTTTTACCAATGAAAACTCTGGCTGCCCAGAGTGCCATAAAGGCCCTCAGCGAATAGGATATTGAATAGGAGTTTGACTCCAGGGTTGTCTCAACCAAGAGAATTAGCTTCATCTCAAGAGAGAAAGGTGGCTGGCCAAAATGGATAGTGAAAATGTATAGGAGAAGATGCTGTCATTTTAGTAGAAAGGCAAGATAGTACAGTTCCTGAAATGTATGTAATCTTTAAAGTTGACTTTATTCTTTGGATATATTCCTATATAGATAGGTCTGAGCCTGTCTCAGTATAGCACAAAATATTTAGCTGAGCAAACATCAAGTCTTTATTAAGTGTTTATGAATAATGAATATGGTCTACAAAATAGCACATTGTTGAAAATCTGAGAGTCAGGAGAAGTTTGGGGAGAGAAAAACATTGCTCCTATATTTGGTTTTTATAAGAAGCATTCAAACTGATCTGTTAACAACACAAGCTAAATGATTTTCCTTTTTGTAAGAAGGAAAAGGGGAGGGGAGGGGATAAAAAGCAAAACCCTTAAAATGAGAAAAAAAAAAAGGCTTCCTTGCAAAAGAAAGATTTTTAAGATATTTTATTTTAAAATATTTTATTCCAAGAGCCATTAACTTATGTGTAACACCTATTATAACATCTATTAGGAGTTTGAAAAATAGAAATTAGGCCCCACCAGTGTGGCTCAGTTGGTTGGGCATGGTCCCGCGCACCAAAAAGGTTACCCTGATTCAGGTCAGGGCACAAGCCTGGGTTTTGGGTTCCATCCCTTTTAGGGGGCGTGCAGTAGGCAACTGATCAATGTTTCTCTCACATTGATATTTTGCTCTCTCTCCCTTTCATTTCTTCTCTCTCTCTCTCTCTCTCTCAAAATCAATTTTAAAATCTTTAAAAAGAAAAAAGATGATAATTTTTTAAGAGTGGATTTTTTTTAAAACATCGTAGGTGCTCAACAAATGCTGGCTGAATATATTAATCAGTTAATTAAGATATTGAGAGAGAAATAGATCATAAAATTTCCTGACTCTATAATGTTCTCCTCTCCACCTGTGCTGATTGACTAGTTACAGGGAAAAGTATTAGAAACGCTATCAAAGACCGGCTTTGTGGTATTTACATTTGTTACAGAGTCCAGTAGAATGGCAGGTTGTGCGTGTGTTCACAGCATCCCCACAAAATACAGCCACTTGGAACACATGCATTAAGGGAAGTGGGCTACAAAGCTGACTTATATAACTAATGACTCAGGTTTCCTTTTACTTTTCCAAAGATCAAGGCGAAAACCTGAGCTATGAGTCTAACCTGCCAAGGAGGCTCAAAGTGGCTTCCAAAACCATGTCTAAAGGTGAACAGATATGGGATACAGCTCTACCTGGTCAACATCGCACTGAAATTCCTTAGGCTCCCAGAGAGTTTAAGATAAAGCTTTACCTGACTTTTCATTGTTATTAATGCTGTCCTAAAATTTAGGACAATATTTGAGGAAGAAAATAGTAGTAAGTTCATGCTTGTTCTACATAAGCCACAATGAGTGCTTTTCTTCCCATTTAAAACATTGCTCCACTTATAACACTCCCATTTGTTTCTGGGTATCGAGTTGTCTCATTGGCATAGAGCACCCACAAGATGCCAAGCAGAGCTGAAACAATGTCTAAGAAGAGAATGGCTATTGAATGATAGGATATGAAGTTAAAAAGGAAATAATGTACATTTTCCAGAGTGGAACAGGATAACAAAGAAACTTCTCCACAGAAAAAATCCTTACATTTCAATTCAGTGGTGGTTGTTTTTTATTGTTTGTTTTTGATGTCTTCCCAGGTTCAAGATATGCTAAGAGGACCACATGAATGAGGAATTCTGTCAGGTTGCCATTAACAGAGACCCAGAATAGTAGTGGATTAAATGAGTTGAAGGTTTGTTTTACTGCACATTAAAAATGATTTAAAATGATAATAAATTTAAAAAATTAAAAATGGATTGGGGAGAGTAATTGGGAAGTAGGCAGTCCAGAGCTTGTATGATCTCCACTAACTTATCAGGGTGTAACCCTGTTCTTCCTTTTCACCATTCTTAGCAAAGTAGTATTGCTTACCGGTAAATCCAGGTGAGGATGTGAAGTAGGAACCTTCATGCATTGCTGATGGGAATGGAAAAGAAGGAAAATGGTCTGGCAGTTCCTCAAACTCGATCCCCAGTAGGGGTCATGCAGGTGGCAGCCTGTTGATGTTTCTCTCTTATCAATGTTTCTGTCTCTCTCCCTCTCCTTAACGCTCTTTAAAATCAATAAAAACATATTTTTTTAAAAATAAAAGTAATTCAATAGAGAAATGATAGGTTTTCCAACAAATGGTGCTGGAACAACTGGACCTCCACATGCCCCAAAATACATCTAGACATAGACCTTATAACTTTCATAAAAATTAACTCAAAATGGATTATAGACCTAAGTGTAAAACACAAAACTATAAAACTTGGAAGATAACATAGGACAAAATTTAGGTAATCTTGGGTTTGGTGATAATTCTTTTGATACTGGACCAAAGGCACAACCTATGAAAATAAAGTATAATGGAACGTTATTAAAAATAAATTTTTCTGTTCTGCAAAAGACACTGTCAAGATCAGCCACAGACTAGGAGAAGATGTTTTCAAAAAACATCTGATAAAATATACAAAACATTTAAAATATACAAATAAATCTTAAAACTCAACAATCAGAAAATGAACAACCCAATTAATACATAGGCAAAAACTGACAGACTTAAATAATAAAGATATTATTCCCATAATATTTTTAATCTCTTCATAATCTCATAATATCTTCATAAACTAAGAAGTTTAGACAAAGACAAAGATAGTTCTAGGGATAGTTTATTAGCTCAACTACATGATAATGCCTTCACCAGCTCTTTTCAATTCTTTGGTGTGGGAAGCTGATATAGGGTTAAGCCTCGGACTGACCTGTGAGCAAAGTCACAAACAATTCCCCAGCTTGGAGGGCACAGTCCTCTTAACATAATTAGGCTTGACCTTATAATACTCCCTAGATCTTATCTCGGAAGCTAAGGGGCTGAGGAAGTGCAGGAAGTATAACCATGGTGTAAACAAGTGAAACTCACAGGAACCATGTAAACAAGTGAAACTCACAAGAACAGTGTAACTTTGGTAACCACTACCTTGTTTACCTCTCACTATAAAAAGCTTGGTGAGGCCTGAGCACAGTGGAAGTCCTTCCTCTTGAGTTGGACTTGCTCGCCTGGTCCCCCAATATTCCCAAATTATCTTGTGTCTTTTCTTGTTCATTTGTTGTGCGGCTCCTCTTCCAGACCTGAACCCTGAACCACGCAGGACGTGGAGGGAAACACTTAAGACAACTGGCACCTGATGGAGACTCTGGAAGTGAAGGCAAAGTGAGGAACAAAGAATTCACCGTAAAGGTAGGAAAATTCACTGTAAAGGTGAGGGGTTATTCCACCGCACACAAACGGCCACAATCAGCTACAGTGGTCCGGAGCTGTAGGCGGTGTGGGAACGTTTTCTCAACCAGGCTAACGGGGCAGGATTCGGCTTTGAAAAAATAAAAAATAAAAATAAAAAAAGATAGATTTGGCTTTTTAAAAAGTAAAAAACTTTATTATAGACTTTTGAGATGTTTAATTCTTCGTTAATAGAATCACCTGTGCAAAAACGCCAAATTATAAAGAAATTGGAATATTAAAAAGTACTCTTTTAAATCAGACTGAAAAAAAAGAGTGCCATGGTCATCTTAATGTGGTTTCTTGTTCAAATTAAAATCTTAATTTGTATTTGGAATCTAAAATCTGTAATAAGAAATGAAATTCCGCTACTGAATCCACCTCTGATGTGGAGAGATTCAAAGGTGGCAGGAAAGGGCAGAGCTATAAGCTCTCCCGCAATGAGATGACTTAATGTATTGTTTAAAAATTACCGGAGAACATGTCGGGAAGTGCAAAGTTTGGCCAAGATAACCTTGGGTGCTAGCCATAACTTTGGGAAGCAAAAAAGGAAAAAAATTAAAATGTCTTTTTCTATTAAGCATGACTTTGGGAACAAATACGCCATCTGAGTCATTTGCTGAAACTTCCCCCAAAGCAGGATGTGGGGAAAGCGAAGAAGGGAGCACATGGCTATCCAATATGGATGCTTCCTCCCCAAGTATTCTAATTTAAACTCTTCTGATTGAAAAGTTTTACAAAATTTAAAAATGTGTCTGGGATTTCTGTCCATGTGTAAAGAGAAAAACTGGCTTGGAACTAACGCACGCATCGTCTGATTTTGGACATTTAGATAGAGTTTTAAGCTGAAATCTCTTTACAAATGTACAGAATAAAACCCAAGACTGATTATTTCCTAAAGAAAAATGGCAAATTTTACCCAAAGGAAAAAAGATGCTGGCTAGGTTCTAGCAACAAGATTGGTATATTTCCATAATAAAGAACAGTTTTTAAACGCTAATGAAGGGTGTTAAAAAGTGAACTTCAAGGCCGAAAAGGAAATTCAGTCAAATTGTCTCTGTTACAAAAATTTGCTAAAGAGTATGCCTTAAAATAATAATTTGGATTTGAATCTCAAGAATTTTTGAACTATATTAATTATAAAAATCTAAGTAGCCCAGTAAAAAACGGCTATGCTCTTTAATTAAGGCTGGCTTCCCAAGGCAATTTCTAATGTAGGAAGGGCTAGCCTCCTTGCCCCGAGCAG